GACGACCATGAATACATCTCGGAGACCGAAGCACCAAGTGACCATGGTGGGGCGTTCTATCCTTTTCCAACAATGGCAAGCTCGAAGAAGTAACCCAACCCGCTCGACCAGCGAACCGAGACCGAGCTGCCTGATACCAGTCCGCCGACAGCGATGAGGGCTAAGGGCGGTAAAGTTAAAGCAACACGATAGTTCAGTATGACTGGAGGTAAGTTCGAGCAACGATAGGAAAGAAAAAGATCAATGCGCTCGCAGAGTACATATGTGACTTGCTATAACTGGTCAAGCTGCCCAAGGGGCGCAAGTCATTAACTGGCTTCTCTGTCCCTGCAGGCCCCTCCTCACCGCCTATTACAACATTATACACAGTATGGTCCAGCCGCAACACTCTGGCTCAAAGACTCACCTAGCTTAATATATCGGTTCCCATATCTAGCAAGGTAGTTGCGAAGCTCAGGGTTGAACGAAAGCGTGCTAAGAGGAGACTGACTGCATTTCCTCACTAATAAGAATTGTCTGACTACATTATCTGGAACAAGCGTAAGTTGTTTGCTATTTCAGTGGATGTTATAACCACTCCATAGTTTATCTCGCATGCCAAACTGCCTGAATGTACCAGGGCTAAGTTCAATTGGTTAAAAAGAATAGCCAATCTGAAATCACGGTCTTTGGTATTCCCTCTCATGAGCAGCTCCGAGTTGGTGATGGACGAGGAACGACTTACCCATATCAAGGATGTCACCCAACATCACGCTGTGTGTAGCGCCTTGCTGGAGAACCTGCAGAGTGCCCATTACAGTTTGCTCAAAGCCAAGCAGCAAGTGAGACAACTCCCCTGGATGACCAGGGATATACGACAAAAGCTTGACGAGAGCATCAAGGAACAGGTAGACCTTCTGCATATGACCACAGACTACAAGGTACACCTAGCAAAGGTACTTGACACCGCGCAAAGAGAGTTGCTCATCCCTGTCACTTACCCGCCAGAAAGTGACCTAATGCCTGATGAAGATGAAGAACTACGTGACATTCGAGCAAATGTTTTCCCTCCTTCAGATTGATCAACATGTCTCAGGGACAAAGTTCGAATATCGAGATGAACGGTGAATACATACACAACCATCGACATCAGGCAAGGCAACACCGCAATAGAGTGTGCTCATATACCCTGAGACAGCAAGGATAGTGCACTCCTCCAATCCCGGTACTGACAAACTGAGTCAAGTTTTTTTAAGTGGTGGGTGGGCCACTAGCGCCCCCCCTGATTTATTTGGAATGTACATTCCTGTTGGTATGACGAGATCACTTGGCCATACGACGTGTGCTGAGTACCAAAAGGGCTCTAGGCATTTGACTGGTTGCAGAGTGAAACTCTCCGTCTTATCCCCCTCACTAATTGAATAATGGCAAGCCTCTTTTGTGCATTAAGCAAAGAAATCGTTTTGCTCACCACATAATCCTGCCAATCATCGCATTGTTAGTGAGAATTGACGAAACTAGGTTATTGCCTCGGACTCGGCGCTCTGCGTGCACCGGCAACATGCTACTCAGGCTCAAATGCAGACAAACGTTTCCTCTAAGATCTGTTGTGATGACCTCTGTTGTGATGACCTCGCCCCTGCTAGCAACTCAGGTGCATTTGTCTAGGGTACTGCCCCTCAGTGTCTATAATGAGGAAAATAGTGCCCCGAGACGTCAGGGAATATCCCAATACGATAATACAGGGGAGGCCCCAACTCCGTCTCCAAAAATCATATCAGTTTCAGGTGCTAAAAACGAACCCAAAAGAAGCCTCTTTTCCTTGCTTGTCTTTGTGATGACAACCTTTCCCTTTCTAATATGCTGATGAAAGAATCCAAAACCTGCAAGCGAGGCGCTTCGAGGCTCGGCGAGGCCTGGCCGAGGCCACGCCTCGGACGCAAAACCTATTGGCACGAGGACAAAGCGAGGCTCAAGGGGACTCGAAACTATATAATACTATTGTTGAAGTCCCAGCAAAGCTGAACTTGAAGCAGTTGGCAACTGTGCTGCCTCGCTAGAATTTTAGGCCGCAGCTGGCGCAAAGAGACGGCCTCAACGCAAGCCTCGAGGCCTCAAGGATATGGGAATTGCAGCCAAACAAAAAGTTTAGAAGATGAAGTATAGTTGGAGGCAGGCCTCAATGCAAGTCTCGAGCTCCAGCGTCGCGAGACCATGGGAATTAGGACAAAACACTTCGGGGCAAGCTTCGAGGCAGGCCTCGAGGCAGGCCTCGAGGGCCTCAAGGCTATGGAAATTGGAGAAAACAATGTGACAAAATCCTGTTTTGGTCTCAAACGGTTTTTTCTTTTTTTTTTTTTTCCGAACCCTCTCCACTCGGGCGCGCAAAAAGGGCCTCCCCAGTTCAAGATTCCAGCCGCAGCTCTGCTTGATCAAATCAGCTTCAACTTGAAATAAACGTTCACAATTGCGACAATGAGGTGCCAAAAAAGGGACCAAAACTGGACCCTCCGGGGGGACCACTTTTGATTCAAGGGTCCACTTTTTGACCCCTTTGGAACACGTTTCCTTTGCAAGGGGTCCAAACTGGACCCCTCAACAGGTTGCTCCGGTGCCTTCTTGGAGTCTCCCGGTTTTTAAGCCCACACAAGCACCTTCTTGCTTTCAGCTGAGCTGTTCCCATGTAGAAACGCATCAAACGTCACACAAAATAACCAGCAAGTTGGCAATAAGGGCCTCGAACAGGGGAGGCCCCAACTCCGTCTCCAAAAATCATATCAGTTTCAGGTGCTAAAAACGAACCAAAAGAAGCCTCTTTTCCTTGCTTGTCTTCGTGATGACAACCTTTCCCTTTCTAATATGCTGATGAAAGAATCCAAAAGCCTGCAAGCGAGGCGCTTCGAGGCTCGGCGAGGCCTGGCCGAGGCCACGCCTCGGACGCAAAACCTATTGGCACGAGGACAAAGCGAGGCTCACGGGGACTCGAAACTATATAATACTATTGTTGAAGTCCCAGCAAAGCTGAACTTGAAGCAGTTGGCAACTGTGCTGCCTCGCTAGAATTTTAGGCCGCAGCTGGCGCAAAGAGACGGCCTCAACGCAAGCCTCGAGGCCTCAAGGATATGGAAATTGCAGCCAAACAACAAGTTTAGAAGATGAAGTATAGTTGGAGGCAGGCCTCAATGCAAGTCTCGAGCTCCAGCGTCGCGAGACCATGGGAATTAGAACAAAAACTTCGGGGCAAGCTTCGAGGCAGGCCTCGAGGCAGCCTATGGAAATTGGAGAAAACAATGTGACAAAGAAGGTCCCTGTTTTGGTCCTCAAAACGTACGAAAAAGCGGGCGCGTAAAAATGGGCCTCCCCAGTTCAAGATTCCAGCCGCAGCTGCTGCTGATCAAATCAGCTTCAACTTGAAATAAACGCTTCAACAAATTTGCGACAATGAAGGTGCCAAAAAAGGGACCAAAACTGGACCCTCCAGGGGGGACCACTTTTGATTTCAAGGGGTCCACTTTTTGACCCCTTTTGGAAACACGTTTCCTTTGCAAGGGGGTCCAAAACTGGACCCTCAACAGGTTGAATCCGGTGCCTTCTTGGAGGTCCGGTTTTAAGCCCACACAAGCACCTTCTTCAGCTGAGCTGTTCCAATGTAGAAACGCATCAACGTCACACAAAATAACCAGCAAGTTGGCAATAAGGGCCTCGACAGTTCAAGATTCCAGCCGCAGCTGCTGCTGATCAAATCAGCTTCAACTTGAAATAAACGCTTCAACAAATTTGCGACAATGAAGGTGCCAAAAAGGGACCAAAACTGGACCCTCCAGGGGGGACCACTTTTGATTTCAAGGGGTCCACTTTTTGACCCCTTTTGGAAACACGTTTCCTTTGCAAGGGGGTCCAAAACTGGACCCTCAACAGGTTGAATCCGGTGCCTTCTTGGAGGTCCGGTTTTAAGCCCACACAAGCACCTTCTTCAGCTGAGCTGTTCCAATGTAGAAACGCATCAACGTCACACAAAATAACCAGCAAGTTGGCAATAAGGGCCTCGAACAGGGGAGGCCCCAACTCCGTCTCCAAAAATCATATCAGTTTCAGGTGCTAAAAACGAACCCAAAAGAAGCCTCTTTTCCTTGCTTGTCTTCGTGATGACAACCTTTCCCTTTCTAATATGCTGATGAAAGAATCCAAAGCCTGCAAGCGAGGCGCTTCGAGGCTCGGCGAGGCCTGGCCGAGGCCACGCCTCGGACGCAAAACCTATTGGCACGAGGACAAAGCGAGGCTCACGGGGACTCGAAACTATATAATACTATTGTTGAAGTCCCAGCAAAGCTGAACTTGAAGCAGTTGGCAACTGTGCTGCCTCGCTAGAATTTTAGGCCGCAGCTGGCGCAAAGAGACGGCCTCAACGCAAGCCTCGAGGCCTCAAGGATATGGAAATTGCAGCCAAACAAAAAGTTTAGAAGATGAAGTATAGTTGGAGGCAGGCCTCAATGCAAGTCTCGAGCTCCAGCGTCGCGAGACCATGGGAATTAGAACAAAACACTTCGGGGCAAGCTTCGAGGCAGGCCTCGAGGCAGGCCTCGAGGGCCTCAAGGCTATGGAAATTGGAGAAAACAATGTGTTTGGTCCTCAAAACGTACGAAAAAGCGGACGCGCAAAAATCGGCCTCCCCAGTAAGTGATATCATCCTAGGACCGGGCACTCGCTCCGACCAAGATGTTCTTTGATTCAAACCCACTTTTAGAGAGAGTCTCCTCGAATTTCCTTGAATGAGTATAATTGGTACTGACCACTTCGTAGGTAAGATATTCAACTCGGTAGCTTGCCTGAACACGGTGGTATTCCGGCCATAGACGTGTCGGAGTTTCACCTGACAGGCTTCTGCCGTAACCATTTACCTAACTTGCCGCTCCATAGTAAGGGAAAACTCCCAAGTATATACTAACCTCCCTGTACTAACTGATGCCTAGATGGTCTATCCTCTTTACTAACATTAGTTCATCGGAGTTAGAACTGAAGCCATGGAGGAGGACAAGCTGATTCGAATGGCAGCAGCCATCAGTGAATGCACTACAAGCAGCATGCTGCAAGAAACGGTGTCTGAGGCAGCTGAGACGCTAAACTCAACGGTGCAAACCCTCCCGGGTATTCCACAGCATCTACTGGATAATATGGCTAGAGCGCAGCAGGCGCTGGAGCAATTGGAACGCAGCGCAGTCACCTACCAGAAAGAACGCACAGCTGACGCGGCAGATACACAGAAAGCTATCATGCAACACCGTCATCTACGAGGGAAAGAGGAGCTTGAGTTGAACTTCAATTCCGAACCATAAGAGTGTACAGAGTGTCCCTTTTTGTCAATGAATGCCGTAGCAGGAAAATGAATGTGCATTGACACGTATACAGTATCTTCCTCAACCACGGAGAGTACAGAGACCACTAAAAACGACACCAACCCCTGAACGATTGATTTTCATCTGAGAACTTTGCATTAGTCATATCATTTGCTCCAACTAAAGTTGCAGTGGAACGGTACCACATTGTCGTGAAGCGTCATCACCTAATTGAATGTCTGTTTGTAATGTGCTTCATATCCTAACGTCAACATTTACCGGCGCAATCCCTTTGTTTGCTCTGTGGCTCACAGTACCAGCAAAAAGATATGTTTTCACTGGACCTCGCAGACAGCACGCCGAAAGAATATGATCAGTGACAATCATTTGAAGCCATGCAGGCAAGATGTTTCTCATTTTAGCAGCTTCCTCGTGATCTGGAGTGCAAGTGTATTTCTAGTGTTCACTACTCATCATGGTAATACTCACTGTAACCTGCAACACAGTCACCTGTACACGGTGCTCCTCTGACCGTAGACGCGTCGGATTGCACCTGTCAGGGTTCATGACTGTCTTACAATCACACTGTAGCCTTTACAAGCGCTAGAGAACATGACTCTTATGAATCGATTTCCCTACCTCCCTACCACAAAGCTCTGTGCTAGCCATGGCATCACCGTCAATTACTTTCCTGGAGAATTACCACTGGAAGGGCTACACGGTCGATTCCATTGTCAACAACTCTAACACGATGATATGTCTGCATCGAGGAAACTTCCCAATGCACCGACATTGCAAAAATATGGAGATAGGGTGTGTGCCTTTCAATCTTCTAGAGGCATGGGTATGGATCCACATGGAAAAGTGGAACATAATATGGGCGGACGATGAGGCCTGGCTCCCACCTGATGGGAATGTGATTTCACGGGAACGCCTACCCCACGGATTCCACAAGGTCATTACTCATGACACTGATGAGGAGTACCTTGAGGAGTGGGTGGAAGTAGCAGGCAGGGGTTTTTACCCCTTCGCAGCTGAGATCCGACACTATGGCTATGCTTGCTGGGCGAATTCATGCCGCTTTGCCATCGTAGCACGAAGTACCCAACAATGTGTTATTATAGCAGAGGTTATGCACGCTTACAATCTGCTAGGAAACCGCATCAAAGTATATGCCCTCAGGCAGATGGGATTGCTCTCGCAGACCGAACTAGAATTAATCGAGCGATTCACGAAGATGATCGTTCTTGTTTTGACTTTCGGCAATCCCAAGCGTGCCGTGATGCAATCGCTGGGAAATTCCCCAACAATGCCAGTGAGGAGGAAAGAATCTTCCACCTTAGCGAAAGGATCCATTTATTGCAGAAACAGCATAATGACCTAATCCATGAAGCGAACCGAGCCATGTATCAAGACAGCAGAGCTGGCAGATGCTCAGTGAAGCCTATGCGGCACTTTTTGCTGGGTAACCTGTGTCATCACAGTCGTTGGCTTTGCCCCAGTATTCAGGTTTAGACGCCAGATCGCTCTTTTGAAAAAGCAGGGCAACAAAAAGCTACCACTGGGATCTTCAAATTGGTGCTGTGCAGCATATAATTTTGCCAAATTTTGCCAAGTTGTGATCTGTGTACATGACCTTTCACACATGACTGTTGAAGCTATTTGGCTGATAAAATGAGACATTAGGCTAGTGCGGTTCTGGCCATGTCGCAGCTGACTATTACACTAGCTCAGGTGAGATGTCCTTCTGCAACCCCTGGATTTGACCATCCTCAGTCTAGTGTACTCCCTTAATCTCGTTCCCATGCTTTTCCTGAAGGGTGTACCCTTCCCACCGTAAGCCCCTTGACACACACAGGGAAATTATGTGTCATAACGTCATCCGTAAGACTCATGGCCCATGCGCGCTTCAGACACGATCGCCATCAAGTACCATCGTCGGTCAGAATGCTGCTGCATGGACTGGAAGCTGCTCAGGAATTGACCAGTACTTTAAGAGACCTCCGCCGTACAGTCAAGCTGCTGCAGAGTGGTCTTGTCGTACTATTTCCAGACGAAACGATCGGATTGCATTTACTATATAGCACACTTGACAGAGACTTAATGCAAGTGGAACGCACGAGTCAGTTTCTCACCCATCAGCTCCTTATAGCGATGGCAGAGACACATGACGACATCGTCCAATTGGCGGCGTTCTGTAGCCCAGCAGACAGAGGAGTCTGGATCAATCGACTTTTCCTGATTCCCGCTGCTCCAGGGTCATTAACTGACGGATCGGGCAGATATCCAGTTCCCCTCGACGCTCATCCTTTTCGAGTAGTGGTCAGGACTGTACTGATCACAGCCAGTTTGGGAGGCTTCATCGATACAGAGGCACTTGCTGCCCCCGTGTCGTCTTTAGTGGAGCTAACCTTTGCGCTTTTGCGAGTGAATAGACCGTGGAACATCAGGACGTGGACTGAAGTTGCTGACGGCGTTGATACTCGTGTTGTGTCGGTGGCCCAAGACACTCTGCTCAGAGATGTCGTCAGAGAACTCCAACCGTTTGTGCGCATTCAGATTCTGATAGGACCCACCTACTGCAGTGGTAAGTGACTCCACCAGTGAGCTGCTATCCCCGAGGGTAGTGCTACTATGAAAAACAAACAGTTGCTGAGAATGGCACTCCAAAGTAGATAAACACAGGATGGAATTGGTGATATCTCTCATCACAGTAGAACACAGTCCTCCTTATCATGATACCGTCGTTTGAACATGCAGAGTCGGCCTGACGCAGCCTTTTCACTCTCAAACCGCTTGAACAACATAAGACTTACCGGCCACTTAGCGTACATGTTCGTACTCCATATTGATCCACTCTCACTTAATTGGTGATATGGTGTTTTCTCTCCGAATCTGTGGCTTAAGTAGTGGGGTTGTATCTAGCCATCAACCCAATTTCCAATAAGTTACCTGAACACGGTGCCCCTCTGACCGTAGACGTGTCGGGTTGCACCTGTCAGGTTATTAATAGTTGCCTCAATGTCATGCCCCTGCCCCGAACAGCAAAAGAAGTACCCACTCCCCTCTCAGCTATTTTTCTCATTTTTCACTTTGGGATCACTACCCTTTGTGTTTCTATCTAGAAGAACCTCCTATTGTGGTCCCTGTGTCCCTCTCTGTTTGAGGGTCTGAACAACGGCTAACCTGGTGACAATGTAAGGTGGTGTCAAGAGAGTCTAGAGTTACTTACTGGAACCTAGGCATGAAGCACCTTGATGTAGTTGATGGGGAGCTGGCAGCAGTCCCAACTGAAGAACGGCCAGCTGCGGGTATTATTGGACAAAATCTGGAACTGGTTATACTCACGTTACGATCTCCGGACGCGGAAGTATGGACAGCCAGCACAGCAACAGCTGCAGCGGCAAGCCTTGGTAGCACCCAGTACCAAGAATATATCCTGCTATCTAACGGTTTGATACAGCGCACTCCATGCGAGTGCACCCTCACGGACGAGGCCATCAGTTATATTGATCATCAACTAATCGACCAGCTTTGCCTTGAGGGCATAACCATCACGGATGCCTCTTCGATTCGGGTGGCAACAGTATTTGTCCAGCAAAGTTATACAGAGCTTGCCTGTTTCCGTTCCTTCTTCTAAGCCACATGAGTCGGCGACGGACGCCCCACGAGAAAACATGTTAGCGCGAAGTGGATGAGCAGTGCACTTCTGGTACATGTCGCTATTCAGGTTATGTGCACCTTGCTGTTTGCATATCAAGCAGTCTGTTGGTTACTGGCGTGATTGCAGGAGAGCTTTATAAAACAGCATCAATATATTTGCTGCATATTGCCGCTTTTCGGCTCAAACTATCCCTTGTATAGCTATATTGGCAAGGCGTGGGCTCTCACACTTCTGGCCGTAGACTGGCTCAGGGGTGTACCCTCGCCTTGCCCTGCCCTCCCTCTTCCTCCCCCTCTTTGACTGCCCTCCTTTTCTCTTTGCTGCTGCCTGCCCACCCCATCCCCTTGTCGACACCTTCTGCCCTCCCTCCCATTGCTATTCTGCACCAGTTCCCTCTGCCGTATCACCTCGCCTGTCTACCCCCCCGGGTCTATCTGGCAAATTTCTCTGTGCCACTTCTTCCAATCTCACACATCGAACGGGAGTAGTTGGCGATAATCAGCCGATTCATCATGACGCAATGGATAGGGGACAAGTGGAGACTGAAGGCAGGCCCACAGCTTGGCCAAGTGAACAGCAATGAGTCAGCCGAGGGCACCACTACAGAAAAGAATCCAGAACCTCGCCGCTGTGGCTATACTGAGTCCTTTATCCAAGAATATGATGGCATCAAGGTGTACCATCACCAAGGCAGCTATCAGCATATCGGTCCTCAGATCTATTCTTGGGCTTTCTATGAATATCGAATGGTCATCAACTCGGAGTGTTGGAACATCATTATCGATGAGAACATGAAGGAAGTTCCAAGCAGTTTCCCAGGCTCAAATTCCGCTAAGCTCACACACGACTTCTGCCATGTTGATTCGGAAAGCAGCGATGACGTATACACTAGCTTCAGTTTTGTAGAAATGGGAGGCCGCACCATCTGGCCCTTTTACACCACGGAGTCCTTTCAGGAAGACCTATGGATCTGGGTTAGTCCTCGCAGATTCGCCATCATATCCCAACATCCGAATAATGAGAAGTTGAATCGATTCTATTCGAACAAAATGCACGAACATCATATCTTAGCCAACAGAGCGAAGTGCTGGAACACCTATATAGTGGACACTGATGGCAGCAAAAAAAAGGACTGCCTCATTACCCTCAACGAGGAAACAAGGATTTGTTGGGCTGATCAAGAAACTTTTGCCACTGGTTTTGAAGACAAGTATGATATGCGACAGACAGCCCATAAAGGTGCAATGTCCTATGGGAAACGTAAACACCCAGGCCCCACTGGCCAAGGCATTGCCAAACCTTTCGATGCTACAGGTACCTATAGTGCCCGAGACAT